AGACTAATAATTATAAGAGGAATATATGTACATATCTATCTATCTATCTATCTATCTATTAGATTTTTACAACCCCTGGTAAGCCCCAATTATGGGAGGAAGCTAACTGCTAAATAAATCCCTTTATTTATTTATCAGCACAAATTATATAGATAGATAGATAGATAGATAGATAGATAGATAGATAGATAGATATGTACATATATTCCTCTTATAATTATTAGTCTGTACTATTTTATATACAATATATCCTACTCCCCACCCTTATTTATTTATGCAGTTTTGCTTGTTTTCTGATTGCTTAATCTTTCTTCCCTTAAAGATGCTTATTCTTTGCATCTTTCCTCTAGCCATTTGTACCATAAATTCCATACTAAATAATAATCAAATTCTTCTTTATGTTTTTTTTTCTTTATGTTTTTTTTAAGTCTGTCCACCTCAGCGCACTCTAATACTTTTTTTATCACTTTTTCCTCTGTTGGTATATTTTTGCTCTTCAATTTTGTGCATATAGGATTCTTGCTGCAGTTACGTGTAATATTAAGCATTGAATTTTTTAAATCATAGTTCCCTGTAATTATCCCTAATACCATGTCAGACAAATGGTTGTCCAATCTCTTCTTAAAAATTTCCAGTGTTGGAGAATTCACCACTTCTGGATGCAAGTTGTTCCGCTGATTAATTGTTCTAACTGTCAGGAAATCTCTCCTCAGTTCTAGTAGAGGTGGAGACGAAGCAACATACAAGGGGGAGGTTCAAAAATTATCCCCATGGTGCTCTGAAAACAATTTGCACCTGAACACCAGCAAGACAAAGGGGATGGTGCTAGACTTCCAGAAGAAGAGAGTGGAATTTTCCCCACTTTACATCCAGGGGGGGCTGTGTGGAGAGAGTCCTCCTCCTTCAAATTCCTGGGAGTTTATCTTAGCGAAGATCTCACCAGGCAAATCTTTTCAGCACCGAGTGCCCAAAATGGAATGTGCATGCATGTGCGCACCGGTGTGCTGAAAACCCGAAAACCAGCTGGCTGGTGCACGCATGCCTGCTTTTTGGCTGTTTTTTTGCGCCATTTTCAGGCTCTTTTTCGACCCGAAAACAGCCTGAAAAATGGCCTGCAAACAGGCCCTGAAAACGGTTTTCAGGCCATTTTCCGTTGCTCCCGTGCCCGTGAAGGCCAGCTGGCCAGCGCGCATGTGCATGCCAGAAACCAGAAGATCAGCTGGTGATGGCACGCTTGCCCACAGAGAGGGCTCTGCGTGCCACCTCTGGCACACGTGCCATAGGTTGGCCATCATGAGTATAGGGTTTCCTGCCTAAGCAGGAGGTGGCTGGACTAGAAGACCTCCAAGATCCCTTCAACTCTGTCATTTTATTCTAGACACTTGGCTGAGTTGCTTCTGAATATTATCTTGTTTTCCAGGAGTCGAATAATGTTTAAGCTCCCCTTATTTATATTATGGTCGCTCTCTGCATATTTCTAACAAGGTCACCTCCCTTCCTCTTTACAAGAAAATAATTCTGCCAGAGAGAAGTTCCCTGAGGATGGGCTCCAGTGCGAGTCCGAAAGCTTGGAAGAATAAACCTCTGGTCTTGATGACCCAGATCGAATCCTGCAACATTATCCTGGGACACAATATATTTCCCTCCATTCGTGAGAGATTGAATTGCTAGTGACACCCAAGAGCGTCCAGTAGCTGCTTGAACTATCCTGCGGCAAACACACTATGCATGTCTGTAGCTGAAACAATGGAAGTTCTAGAAGAGGGGAACAAAGGCAGTTTGAGTGTCAGCGAAATGAATGGCCTTTGCAAGTTAGCATCCGAATCTCTTTGCAGGAAAGGAATGGCAATTGGACGTTTGCAACGTGCTGAAAGAGACAGATCACTCAGATGAACTGCTGCATATTTTTCTTTTTTGTAGAAAGTCAGTGTTAACGTCTGGTGGCTGCCTGGGCAAACGCCTGCAGTTTTCTTGACAACTTTTTCAAAAACGGTTCGCTCTTGCCTTCTTCTTAGGGCTGGCAGAGAGTGACTGGCCCAAAGTTACCCAGCTGATTCTGAATCTAAGTTAGGATTAGAACTAAGGTTTCCCTGGTTCTAGCCTGATTACCGTTAACTGCTGCATCAAACTGGCTCTCATATTACAGATCAATTTATTTTTGTACCACTGTGTTATTTGTCTATAGGCCCAGGATACCTGCGAGACCACCTACTGCCACCAATAGCCTCCCACCATCCAGTGCGATCCCACAGAGTTGGCCTCCTCAGGGTGCCGTCGGCCAGACAGTGTCGGCTAGCGACCCCCAGGGGGAGAGCCTTCTCTGTGGGAGCGCCTTCCCTCTGGAATGAGCTGCCCCCGGAGCTTCGCATAATCCCCGACCTCCGGTCCTTCCGACGCGCCCTAAAAAGTTGCCTTTTCCAGCAAGCCGGCCTGGCCTGAATAGAATAAAATATAGGATTGATTTGGTTATTAATTTTAATTTAATTTTTAAATTTTTATTGTAAATATCAATTGGGTTTTTTTTTGGATACTTTATTTAATGTCCCTTTTAATTTTTGTAATATTTGTTTTCTTTTCGCTTCTCATCCAAGAATCATCCTCGGTTCTGACTGAATGCTGGGGAATGGAAGGATTTATAATATCAACCCTGAAGCTGAACTGACGGAGGCCGTTTTGAGGCTTCAGGGTTGCCACATTGGAGCTGGGGGAGTGGGGAATTTATATAGCTGGGGTTTTTGTAGCCAAAGCAAAATATTTTCTCCTGGGAACCAAGGACATTTCTACGTTTGGCTGGATGAAAAGGGGGTGGTGGTGAAGTTACCAGGGAACCGGATGGCACCCTGATTGGACCATGTGACTGATCGTTTGGAAAAAAGGGGGGGAACGTTTACTTTTAATTAGGTGAAAACCACAGGAACAATCAGTCGGTTTTGACCAGATTGTGCCAATATGATACATCCAACAAAACTATTCTTTGAGGAACCTATTGTACCTGCCTCAGAGTTCTCTTTGCTCTATGGGGATATTACCTTGACATTATATCCTTTGCAGTCATCTGGTTGTTAGCTTTGGCTCTCTAATTCCCCAGCATTCAGTCAGAACTGAGGATGCTTTTTGGGTATGAAGCGAAATGATTTCAAGAAAAGAAAAGTCCAGTTGCTTTCTGAAAAAAACACCTTTGGGACAGTGTGCTGTTTATTTCCTAATATCATCTAATCTCCCTAACACATGGGAATATATTTTTTTTGTAAGACACAGCCATCTTTTTTATAACTGGCCACAGGCTAGCCAAGACATTGGGCTTATAACAGCAAAAAGATTTTTAGTTTTTAAAAAAAGATATATTTTTAATTTTGTTCTTAGTATACCCTGTTAGACCAGAAGCACCTCATTCCCTCTTTTTCTTACATGTTTTTTTTGCAGGAGTGTCAGAGGAAATTAGATCATAAACTCTCCCTTGATGCTTATCTTTTAAAACCGGTCCAGAGGATTACCAAATATCAGTTGCTTCTGAAGGTAAGAGGTTTATCTCCTAATAACATATAAAAAAGGTTGTGTGTGTGTGTGTGTATGTTCCAACTTAACACCTCAAGCAATTTCAACCAAACTTGGTACATAGATGACTTACTCTCTGGAAAAAAATATTGCGGGGGTAAGATAACCCTAAAACCCTTCAGGAGTGTGTGTGTTAAGATACAGCCTGTTGTGCCTTCAAATAGCTTCTACTGTACTGCTGTAAAATGACTTCTACTGTGCAGCGAAGTATCACAGTATTCCCCAAGGGGGCTCCTTCTGGGAAGGGAGAAAACCCAACATTAGAAATTACGTTTAGTCCGGACATTTCCCCCCTGTAAATAAATACCCGGGCAACACCAGGTTATTGGCTAGTCTGCTAATAAAAGTACCGTATTTATGCAGTACTGAATTGCACAAGAGGGTGACTATTCAGTCCATTCTAAAAGTATGTTGATGCTGAGTGGGCGGGGGGCGAGGGAACAAATGAATGAAACAGAAACAGAACAATGGTGTTGGAAGGGACCTTGGATGTCTTCTAATGCAATCCCCTGCTCAAGCAGGAAAGCCTATACCAGGGGTGTCAAACTCAATTTCTTTGAAGGCCACATCAGGATTGACATGGGGGGAGTGGGTGTGGCCAGGGTGGGCATGGGCATGGCCAGTTCGACGTCCCGCAGCCCTCCGCCAGCAAAAACGGAGTTTGGGAGGGCCTCCCGGACTCCATTTTCGCTGGCAGAGGCACCATGGGGCAGTCCTTCACTGTTTCCAGGGTGACCCCACAGGCCAGATCCAAGCACTCCATGGACCGTATTCGGTTTGACACCATTCAGACAAATGGTGGTGTTAACCAGTGGCGGGTTTCAAACATTTTTAGAACCTCTTCTGTAGGTGTGGCCTACTTTGTGGGAGTGGCTTGCTGGCCATGTGACTGGGGGGGCATGGCCAACTTGTAAAATATGGTGAAACTCACTTAACAATGCTCTTGCTTAACAACCAAAAGTTTGGATCAGGAACTCTGGCATTTGAAGCATGCAAGTCTTAAAGCTGTCAAGTTACAAGACCCTTGCACTTCTAACCCTTTAGAAAAAAAACCCCAGGAGGGTGCAAACTTGACAGCTTTAAGACTTGTGGACTTCAACTCCCAGAATTCCTCCTCTCGCTCTTCATCTTGAGGATGTGTGGATGGGCGGGGGGAGGGAGATGGGACCGGTTCTAAACGGCACTGTAGATTTGTGGAACCTCTTCTATAGAAGAGGTTAGAACTGCCACGAACTCATCCCTGCTGTTAACGTATAGTTTGGGCAAAACCATCCCATGGCAACCAATGGGTTTAATAACTGATGCAAAACATGGTGTAAAATCAGGTCTGGTCACATGATGATCTGCTTTGCAACCTTCTCAACACTTCTCAACACACAGGCTCCATTGTGGTCGTAAGTTGAGGAGTCCCTGTATTTTAGAATGATATTCAATAAACTTGCATATAACATTCAGAGGTGGTATTCAGCAGTTTTTGACCAGTTCTGGAAAACCTGTAGCAGAAATTTTGAGTAGTTCAGAGAACTGGTAAATACCACCTCTGACTGGCTCCACTCCCATCTATTCTGTGCCTCCCGAGTCCCAGCTGATTGGGTGGAAATGAGGATTTTTCAGTATCCTTCCCCTGCCACACCTACCAAGCCATGCCCACCAATCCATGCCACGCCCACCAAGCCACGCCCACAGAACCGGCAGTAAAAAAAAATGAATCCCACCACTGATAACATTGTTTCCTTTCCTTTCATGGATTATGTACTTATCAGGAATGGATTGACCAAAAAAAAATACCCATTTTTCTTCTATGTAAGAATGTCAACATTCTGGAGCATTTTAAGGCCTCGTGATGTGACGTTTGCTTTTTTTAATTCTCTTTACAACCAGGAAATGTTAAAATGCAGCAAGAATTCTGAAGGCACTGCTGAACTTGAAGAAGCTCTCGCAACCGTCCTTGATATCATCAAGTCGGCGAACGATTCCATGCACCAAATAGCCATTACAGGCTATGAGGTAGGCCTTGCTCAAATAATTAAAAACAAGCAGTGTTTCTCAAGCTTAGCAGCTTTAAGATGTGTGGACTCCGATTCCCAGAATTCCAAATGCTGGCTGAGGAATTCTGGGACTTAAAAGTCCCCACATCTTAAAGGGCCCAAGCTTGAGAAATGTTGTGATAATGTATGTTGCTGAACTCTGATTTTCAAACAATAGGGTCTTGAAATCTTGTTATTTTCCTTAAAATAAGGATGCTTCAGGCCTCCATCATTTTCCTTAACCAGATTCTCTCCAAGTATCTTGGAGCTCTGATTCTGAGAACTTCAGACAATATCTAGAACAGTGTTTCTCAACCTTGGCAACTTGAAGATGTCTGGACTTCAACTCCCAGAATTCCGGAAGTTGAAGTCCAGTCATCTTCAAGTTGCCAAGGTTGAGAAACACTGATCTAGAAGATGCAACATGAGGAAAATGTGATTTATGAAGAAAAAAAAAACGAGTAATGGTAAAATAATGTCACACCTGTCAGCACTTAAAATCTCTAAATAGAAATAACTCTTGGCTCCATTTGTTCAGAAAGATATCATTTTGTTAGAAGTCAAGTGTATTGTAGTAATGCATAGCCAGAACTAAGAATTGTGCACCAAAATCCCTAAGGCCAAGCCCCCCCACCTTACCTGCCTCCCATTCCTGACCCCCACCCCATGATCAATTAGGTTTCAGCAAGATGGTTTTAGTTCAAACATAGATTGGTATGCAACTGCCTTCTTCTCCCAGCCAGATAACCTTGAGGCAGCTTCTCAGGGAGATGCAGAAGTTACTTTCATTTTCCCTCAAGCATCCACGCTTCCCATCTGTGCTTCCCAGAGTTTATGGCAGACTGTCACCGCATGATAAAGGCAAGAATTAAAACCTGCTTTATTCTTGGATTTCTCCTGTCCTGGTTCTCTTTCCCTCTAGGGAGATGTGGCCGAGTTGGGTAAATTGCTCCTTCAGGGCTCTTTCAATATCTGGACCGATCACAAGAAAGGACACAACAAAGTCAAAGATTTGGCCAGGTTCAAGCCAATGCAGAGGCACCTCTTCTTATATGCAAAAAGCCTCCTTTTTTGCAAGAAACGGGAAGAAAACACGGACGGTCACGAGAAGTCTCCTTCCTACAGCTTTAAAAATTCCTTGAAGGTAAATCATTTCTTATGGTGGAAGGGAGAGAAGTTTAAAGTCAAAGGATGAACCAACATCAACACCTGTGTGAGCAGAGACGAACACCAAAATTAACACTAGACAGCATTAATTAATAAGTAATCAGTGCCCAAATCAAGAAAGTTCCAACATAGATAAACAAGCTAACCACAAACAACAGCCTAATTAAGGGACCACCAAAATTGACAGGGCAAACCACTAGTATATAACATTAAAAGCAAAACCCACTCCCACTCCCTTGTAGCACTGATGATGCTACCTAGTTTGGTAGTGAAATGTCTACCAAGGACCCCACAGAAACCCTTTAAATCAACAAATATATCAAAATAACAAAAAACTGCATTGAAACAAACACAACACTGTCTCTTTTCTTGTAAAAGGATGCAGGTGGAAAAGCTTTCATGTTTTACGGAAGGGAGCCTTGGAGATTCCATTGGCTTTCTTAATATTTGTTTTATCCATTTATATAAAAACAGATGTGTGTGTGTGTCGGGGGGGTGTATGTTCCAGCATAACTCTGGATTGCCTCAAGCAATTTCAACCAAACTTGATACACAGATGACTTACCCTCTGGAGAAATATACTGTGGGGGTAAGAAAACCCTAAAACCCCTTGGGATGTGTGTTTTGTTAAGATACAGCCTGTTGTGTCTTAAAATGGCTTTTACTGTACTGCCGTAAAATGGCTTCTACTGTACAGCACTGTGGAGTTGCCGTGCTAATGGCTTCACAGTACTCCACAAGGGGGCTGCCTCTGGTAAGGGGGAAAATCCAACATCAAATTGTGTTTGGTCCGGACGTTTCCCCCCTATAAATAAATACCTGGGCAACACCGGGTTATCGGCTAGTCTACTAATAAAGTACTATTTGCTAGTGCAAATAGACTAGTAGAGGAAGGTTGCCTACGGAGGATTTGTATCTTGAAAAGATGTAATATGCCCATCAAATTAATGGCATTAAAAATAAAAGTTAAACATCACCCTCTTGCCTCAGGCAATTAAAAGAAACAATTTTCAAATTAAATTCTCTAGATTTCCAACATGATCCCTCATAACCCCAAACTCCCTGGGCTAAATTTAAAAAAGTCCGTCCGAGGCTTTCCATCTCCTTGGTTAATTCTGATGACTCCATCTGAAAACGGGAAAGTAAATTCTAGTATTAGGTTTCCCTCTTAAGCCAAAGGTACTTTTTCAAGAGGCAACCGAACTTTCTGATTTTTCTTTGAAGACGTTTCACTTCTCATCCAAGAAGCTTCTTCAGCTCAGAGCTGAAAGTCCAGTTGCCTCTTGAAAAAGCCCCTTTGGGACAACCATGAACTGAGAATCTCCATAGACATTTCCTGCTTAAGAAATCTTGTTTTCTTAGGCACAGTGGTTAGAAAGGAGTATTGCAGGCTAATTATGCTGACTGCCAGGAGTTCGATTCCTTTGGTCTCGATCAGCAGAAGGTTGACTCAGCCTTTCATCCTTATGACGTCGGTGAAGGAGGACCCAGATGGTTGGTGGCAAGATGTTGACTCCGTAGGCCACTTAGAGAGGGCTGTAAAGCACAGTGAAACAGTATATAAGTCCAAGTGTTATTGCTATTGCTGTTTAGTTTCCCCGTATCCATTGGTGAGCGTTCTATATACAATAAGATTATTTACACTCATCACTTGAGCTATCAAGGAAAACAAACTTGATAATGTTTTTTTCTTGGCAAACTCGATGAATCAATTGGCAGATAAAGATGCAACCTCATTCTGTTTCTTTCCAAGGACAAAACCACTCAGCAGTTTATTGACTTATTCTAGAATTTCAAGAGTGTTCATTTGTCAACGGAAGTCAAGGATAGATCTTTTCAAGCCAGGTTCAAAGGAATCATGGCAAAAATTCAACTTTTGCCCTTGTGGAACAGTTTCTGTTTCAAGAGGAAAAAGCTTTATATAAAGAGCTAAGTGGCTAAAATGCTGACCTTGTCGATCAGAAAGGTTAGCAGTTCGGTGGTTCGAAACCCTAGTGCAGGTGTCTTGCATGTGCAGGGGGTTGGACTAGATGACCTCCAAGGTCCCCTCCAACTCTGTTACTGTTTTCTTGTCCCAGCTTCTGCCAACCTAGCAGTTCAAAAGCATGTAAAAATGCAAGTAGAAAAATAGGAACCACCTTTGGTGGGAAGGTAACAGCATTCCACGCACCTTCAGCATTTAGTCATGCCAGCCACATGACCACAGAGACATCTTCGGACAGCGCTGGCTCTTCGGCTTTGAAACGGATATGAGCACTGCTCCCTAGAATTGGGAACGACGTACATATGTGCAAGGGGAACCTTTACCTTTTTAAACATAAAAATGAGTTTTTCCAAACACTATAAAAGACAAGCCCATTTATAAATAGAAAAAAAATGCACTGATACAGGACGCAGATTGTATGGCTTGATGATAACCCTTGAAACAAAATTGCAGATGGATTCAAAACTTAAAGTACTAAAAGACAAATAGGAATGGGGCATGAATATCTTAGTAATGCCAGCTGAAAATAATAGAATAGCATTCATTGCAGACAAAGACCAACTTATGCTTATACAGCATTGTTTGGCTATATTATATGTGAAAAAGATCTTGGAATAAAAATCTGAATATGAGTCAGAAATGTGATACCATTTCAAATCCAAAAAAAGCAAATTTAACTTTAGGCTTCATCAACACAACATAATTTCCAAATGTTGGGAAGTCATGATTCTATTTAACTGATCAGATTTCACCCCTTCAGAATTATGTCCATTGCTAGCACTATACTTTAAGATGGATTCAGACAAACAGGAAGAGCTTCAGAGAATGGCAGCGAAGGTGACCAGGGAACTAAAAAGTAAGATCTATGGTATAAAGAAACATTGAAGGAATTGGGAAGGACAAGAGAAGATGGAATTGGGTGTAATAATACTCTGGCCAAGAGCAGACAGCTGTCAGATTACACTTCAAATAGAATTTGGAATAAACACATTACTCTTCACTTTTCATCTTTTTTAAGGGATTATCCTTGACATTCTACCAGGCTCCCATCATATTCTAGTTTTAACCTAATTGCTAAGACGCTGAGCTTGTCAATCAGAAAGATTGGCAGTTCGGCGGTTCGAATCCCTACGTAACGGAGTGAGCTCCTGTTAACTTGTCCCGGCTTCTGCCAACCTAGCAGTTCGAAAGCACATTAAAAAAAATCAAATAGAAAAATAGGAACCACTTTTGGTAGGAAGATAACAGTGTTCAGCATTTAGTCATTCCAGCCACATGACCATGGAGACGTCTTCGGACAGCGCTGGCTCTTCGGCTTTGAAACGGAGATGAGCGCCGCCCCCTAGAGTTGGGAACGACTAACACATACGTGCGAGGGGAACCTTTACCTTTAACATGAGCAAGATTGAGCAAGATCTCTGCTTGGCAGGTGTTTGGAAATTTACCATCTTTGTGACTTCTGTATTGCTTCTGTATTATCTGTTCTGTAAGGAGGGAGTGTAGTTAACAAGCAACCTTCCTCGTGCCTTCCCCTTGCTATACTTATATTCCCCAGCCCCCAGGACTTAATGTTAAGGCAAACTTTAACTTTAGACAAAGTTAAAATATCACCCTGCCTTATGTCTTTGGAGATTCTTAGTCATCCAGATCATGGTTGTCCCGAAGGTGCTTTTTCAGAGCTGAAGAAGCTTCTTAGATAAGAAGCAAAACGTCTTCAAAGAAAAATCAGAAAGTATTTAAAGGTAACCCAAGGTGATGAACATACATAATATTCTTCTTCCTCCTATTTTCTCCAAATCAACAACCCTGTGAGGAGAATTGGGTTAAAAGAGAAAGACTGGCCCAAAGTCACCAAGATGGCTTTCATGCCTAAGGCGGGACTAGAACTCACAGTCTCCTGGTGGTTGGTCCAGAGTCTCTGTGAGCCTCCGGGTGATTGGCCCTAAGTCACCCAATTGGCTTTCATGCCTAAGGTGGGACTAGAACTCCCAATCTCCTGGTTTCTGGGTCTTAAACCCTGAAGAGCCAAGGTGGCGCAGTGGTTAAATGCAGCACTGCCGGCTACTGCTAGATCAGCAGGTCAGCGGTTCAAATCTCACCGGCTCAGGGTTGAC